CAGGAATGCAAACCGCCCCTAAAGCCAAGAGTTAAGTTAGCAGGTGGCCTCTTCTATTCACCAAATGTCAACACTCCTTTTAGATGGAGCCCACATAACATCTGGGCAGGCTAGCCACTGCTTTTAATTAAGTGAAATACAGTCACTCAATGTTCTGCCATGTCAGAGAAAAAAATGCTATAAAATTGGGAGGGTGGGAGTAGAAGAAGTGCAACAGTACATATCCTGTGTTCAGTGAAGGTCAACACAGTTGTGTAAATAAATATTAATCCTTAACTTAATCCCTACATTTCTCAGGCCATTGAAAATCCCTGTGTAACCAGAGAATCTCTCTGGAAATAACATGTTCTCTCACACTTTTGTGGAAGATGTGCTTATTCTGAATGAGGAAGAAAGGAAACACCATATGTTTAGTTTAGGTTATGGTTTCAGAGCAGATGGCAACAACCAAAAATATGAGTGTACAGATTGCAAGCAAGTAGAGCCGTGCATACACATGACCTAAATTGTGTGATGGATGGTATCTTTCCCCCATAATCTTTCTCTGCTGGAAGCCTCATGATAATCACCCTTTTGGGCTGGCTTCGGAGGTCAGCGCACTACTTTACTTCCAGCACTGTACCATTAGCATTCCCACTCTCCAAGAGCATGTCAACAGGCTCTGTGGGTGGACCCCTAGTTTATATCATACTTGTCAAACATTTATAAATCTGAGATGGTAGTTCGGCGACAGTGTTCCACAGGACTCCAAACAGAAATACAAATGGACAACTTGAATTTGAAAGGGCTTGATGACTTGCAGCTGGAGGAGGGGAACAAGCTCCAAGATGAAATACATTTCTGCATAAAGTTTAGGGTGATAAATGGAGCAAGAAAAGCTGTAGGGTTAAGTAAAGGCAAAGCAAAAGATAAGCGTTTTCAAGTGGTACATTTATTAAAATACACAACACTCTACATTAAGATACATTTTCCCCAAACACAGACTAGAATTAGTGTGGAACAAAGACATTTGCAGCTATGACAAAGTCAAAAGAGAAACAAGCAACTGTGTTTGTGAAAGAGATTTACATAAACACTGTGTAAAAATGCCATAATTTGTAAAGCAGTTTCAAGTGAACCCTCAGCAAAACAGGAGTTTCATTCCAGACTGACACAACCCCTTTCTGAGAACACACTCTCTTATCAAACACAAGAAAAGCTAGCAAGCTGGAGATAGTGGAACGGTATCAGTGCTGAAAGACGGTGACAGTTTGAAAACATAGTAGCTTTGGGCAATTTGTTTTATATTAGTGAATATTATTTTCTACAGTGATTCAATTAAAATGTTCCCAACAGCCTGATGAATTTGTGATGTTAGTTCTAATAATAATATCATTTTGAGACCTCAAATTTGTGATGCTGCATTTGGTGACATCATTCTGTCAGTTAGTCATTGTGGTCCACTATTGGTCCATTACAGAAAGAGAAAAATAATAAATTAGCATTGTAGACAAAGCACATACTTAAGTATATTTCTGCATAGCTCAGTGAGAGGTTATATCACATTTTATATCAGAAAAGGAGGAAAAAGATGAATGATGTATCATGATGGCTCCAGTGAATAGTTTACTCAGAAAGATGTCATACAGATGCAACTATAAGGGAGTATATGCCAATGGACACAAAAGTCAACCAATAACTGACTTAAAGTAAAATGAACATTTTGTCCTACTCATTTAAATATCACTATATTCAGTGCGATTTATTAAAACAAAACAAAATAAATTAGGTAATAAAACTTTATATACATAATACTGTACATCATATCACCCCTGTAGCAGATGTGCCAGATATCATAAATTAAAATTATTCTGGCCACTAATGACAACCACAGGACCTAACGACCATATTTCTATATTTTTTGAGGATAACATTTGAGCTGTCATCAAAGTAAAGTACTGATATTGCGTTCAGTTTAGTCGGGGCACAGCATGGCTTTGGCACATTGTCAGGAAACATTAAATGGACCTATAAATAAAACACAAAGTAGTTTTAAAGGAGGATGATTACAACTACTAAGAACTTTATATTTTATTGTAGTACCCATATGCAATGCATGCTAAATAATACTTACCAGGGTTTGCACAATTGCATGATTTGTTGCATTCATGTGTGCGTTGAGCGGAAATGAACATTCACCATCACAGTAAAAAGCAGCATAGCCCTCGGGTGCAATGATCCAGTCCTAGAAGACAATTAGCTTTCTTTATATATGACAGAGGGTGTTTTCTCCCATATAATCAGAATAAAAAAATGTGACCATCACTGTTTTATTACCATGTGTTACTTCTATCAATGTTTCATGCATAATTTTATCTTACCTGCCAACCCAAGTCCCGAAAGCTGACGTAAAGTTCATGCTTCTTGCAGGCTTGTTTCTGTTCACTGGTGTTATAATCTGAAAAATAAGGTTACTTATTGCAATATAAATAACTTTATATCTAGCTGATCCCTTACTGTAGGAAGGTTAGTAGTAAATTTAAAGTAGATGGCTATAAAACTCATGGACAAATACACTAAAACCACACTAGTACAAATATAAACATATTTAACAATTTAAGTACATGAGAGCATAGAGCACCGTTGATCACTACAGTAACATGATGCTCGAAAATGTTTAATAATTAACAAACACTGGCTACACTATACCAAATTTATCACTATTGGACTAACAGATGTTGAGAAGCTGTAATCTTGCAGGTGGAGGCTCAACAAGGTCATCCTGCAGATAGCACACTGCAGTACAGATAGGCATGTTTCTTTTATACAAGCTGCAATAATGAGCTGGTGGTCAAACCATGAGTTTTATGGCACTGGCCTGTAATTGTGGCAATACCAGACTGCAGACAATTACATTGTTTAGTCTGACAGAACAATGGTCAGGGTGGTAGCAGGGCAAAAAGATGTGTTTAAAATGTGTCTAATCCAGACACCTGCTGTGTATAGGGTGAATGAGAATGTAAGAAGGTATCACAGCATCTTCACTACATCATGTAAGTGCACCTACCCCCAGTTTTCGGCGCCCTAGATGATTCCTGTTGATTAGTAGATTTATGACGATTATGGTTCTTTTTTTTCCCACCAGCGGCTCTGACTGAGCGAAGCAACACTCCACTGGCCTTGAAGAAAGCAACCAGGAACGGCTGCTTGGACTGGGGCCCGTTCCTTCCAATGATTCCAGCAGATTTTATGTTGATACTTCGTCCTTTAAAGGACAGCAGGTAAGTAAAACGTTCAAAAGAAAACAAAAGAAAGGGGTCATTTTAACATTTTATGGCTGTTTTCAAGGCAAGCAGGTCAAGTAACAGTACAAATGTTAAATTCAGACAAAGAAAAACTGAGCTTCACTTGCCATCTGTAGTTTCCACACAGAGCTGTAGACCCAAGTTCTGCTGTGGGTTCATCACCCAGTGGTTACTGGTGGCTGTGATATCAAACACGAGCCAGCCCCCGTCGGACGCCTGAACATCTTTGGAATCGAGCAAGAATGTCTCTGCATCCCTGAAGGTAAGAGAAAACAATGAAACAAATATCTGTGTTAAATAAACCACAGTTAACAACGGTGCACACTCAAACAGCCAGCACACCCATGAAAGCAGCGCAAAAAGGAAAGCAGGTCCTTCTTTAAGTGGATCCAAGAAGTCTTAACCAGTTAGACTGGAACAGATAAACACAGTATCACTGACTGATCAAGAATGGATGCTTTAGCCCAAACTGTGTAGCAGAAGCCAAAATGAGAGTGGCTTTTATGAGCTTTTCATCTCTTTATACTTTTGAAACTAAACTCCCTTCTCTAAAAAGGCTCTTGATATTTAACACTGGGGAGTTGCTGTGTAAAATTCACTGGTGTGTTTTATGAGTTGTGTGGTAAAACATGTTTCAACTAGATTTCACCTTTTTGATGGAGTTATGTACCATCATCATATCAACCCTTGTGTACAGTAATTTTAACATGAGCCTGACATAAGGCATCAGTCAGCTCTTTGTTGAAAAAGGCCCACTTTGCAATTTGCATATGATTCCTTTCAAGTGACAGACTGGATAAGGCTGGGCCTGTTCAGGTTTTATGGTCTGAAAGAACCAAGTTTTTCCACGTGACCTCAATAGTTCAGGAAATATTCCCGTGTTTGTTACAGGTGTCCTCATGTGGAATGCCACATGAGGTCGATTCTTATGAGGGATATGCTGCCACACCTCCTATCATAAGTTAGCTTGTGTAGGTAATAATTCCTCTTTTAAAACTGTTTAAAAGTTTCCTGCTAACTATGTTCATATGCCACTATTCTTTATTAGCAATTTATGCTCAGTAGCAAAGTTCAGGTAGTGGCAGCGATATGAAACAGCATGTTTTTTAAGAGGTTGTTGGTTTAGTATTATTTTGTTCTGTTTCTCCAGTTCACAGCTAGTGGCAATACATTATACAAAATATATATTTAAAAAACCCTGAGCAAACTGTCTAACTATAAACCTACTATTTTCTAAGAATAAGTGTGTGAAAACTTAAACTGAACTGTTTTCCCCTTTAAGATGGTCCATTGACTTGGACCTTTTCAAAGCCCAGGGGGGCCATATCTCCCCTTCAATCACCCACACACATTTTTGGCAAGCAAATGTGGGCCCACTTTTAAGTACACCCGTGTGTATTCAGCTATGTCATGGTTTAAACTTCCGGGATATTGTTAAGGGAGCCAGGTGGTGGGCATAACAGTGACCACGGGAGCACCCGAGGGAGCCCCCTCCCCCTAATATGGCCCGCATGGTTTCATCTGGGACGCAGCCAGCTTGGCAGGCAACACAGGATGAGTGATAAGTGATGGACCTTCCAAGCTTCATAAGTGGCCAACTTGCTAATGGAGTTCTCTTTATCCAAGAACTATATCTGTAAGACAGACATGGTGCGAATGAAGGAGAACAGAGTTGGAGATATGAGGACGTTCTGTGCGAGTGGAAAGTTTCAAATGTGGAAGACAATAGCTGTTGGACTATTAGACCCTTTTTTAAAACTCTGATATACAATTTGCACTTGTGATCAAAGTCCAACTTAAGTGGCAGCTAGTTTTGTTTCCTTTCCTCCAATTTACAGTTGCAAACAGGATCATGTTTGCTGTCTGCTTTGTGTTTCACAGCATTTCAAATAACTGCATACAGGCTTGATGCAAGTCCTTAGCCTAGAGTATATTGTTTTTTTGTCTGGGACTGACTGATTATATGAGGCCAGGTTAATTTTCTGTTAGATATCAAAGCTTAGCCTCTGTTTATACAGTACAGTACATTATGCCCCTAAAATATCCTTTAATCACTGGTGCAAGAAGTATTGAGAATTCTACTTGAGAAAAAGCAACAATTTCATGCTATAAAAATACTCAAAAGTAAGTCTTGAAATGATATTTCTAAGTAGAATTACAAAGTCCTTAACAAAATGTACATAATATATCAAAGGTAAAAGAAGTGCTACATTATATTACTGAACTAAAATTACTTATCAGAAAGCAACATTTTTATGTTTAAGCAGGTTAAAATAAATCTATTTTAACAATTTTATATATTTTTGGTAGTTTAATCTATAAAAGTTCACAGTTTTGTGTAAGCTGGCCATATGTTTTACAGGCAAAATATGAATTTGCAAGGAAACAACTAACTATACTTCAGGTAAATAAGTAACATTGTTTTGAGTAGAAGACAATGTACTATAGCAGAAAATGGAAATGCTTAAGTAAAAAGCAATAGTACTGAAGTACAGTACTTGAGTAAATGTACTTAGTTGCAGTGCAGCACTGCCATTAAGGTCTGACTGATTTGGTACTTACTTGTTTTGATATTCCTTCATGACTTGATATATAGTAACCTTCAGAGTTATATTGTCGTAGCGGACATGACTGCGGTCCTTATAGATCCGAAACTCTGCAGCGGTCACCGCCTCTCCATCTGGGATCTGAGTCAAATCAAAACGGAACTCCTTGTAGTGTCTTCGTTGGTGTGAAAATTCTTTATCTTTCTCCACTGGAAAAGAAAATATTTCACAATGAATTTCATTTTTACTGGCAGCAAGGTTAGTACTGATCAAAAAATACGCCTTCGCCAGAAAATATGCCAGCATTAATGCACAGAAAATGAGTAATTTATTGCATCTTCCTTTACCTTCTAGGTCCAATCCAAACATTTTGACTACCAACAAAAGCACTTTCCAGTTCATTAAATCAGTCAACTGAATACAGGTAGCAGCTCTGAGACAGGCCCTCTACTGTGTACCCAACTGCATTCTCTGACCATGATGAATGGGCTGTCAGTTAAGAAAAACAGGCTGATTTCAATTAAAGACACTTTTGTCTGCTCCTCAAGTGAGAGAAAAGACCAGACAGAATCCTTGAATGTCATGCAGACATCTCTGACCTTAAACCGACCTCCTGTAGGTTTCATACAATGTACTAATGTCCCTTAACCTTTAAAACTAGATATTATCACTAGAATTAGTCATGTAAAATAACTTTTTAGGCTTGTAATATTTGAAAACGCATAGGATGTGATTGTTTTATATTTTGCTGCATGGAAACACAGCATATAACAGATGAATGTTGCTGCATTTTGCAAAATAAAGGCCGTGTTCATCAGCATTAACAACATGGTAAACATACTTCGCTGATACTTAAAAGTGACTGCCAACTGTCTCACCCCCTGCCTGGCAGCAGAAAAGAGGCATGTGGCTGAGGTCAGAGGATTTTCTGACTTTGTGATGAAATCATTTAGTGCGTTTCCCTGACATTTTATCTAGAGAGAATGCCTGTGACTGCTTAGCACAAACAGGTCAGAGGACAAGTCTGACTTTTACCCACTGAGCTTGTTCCATTTTATTAGACACAGGCAGTAATCTGAGGCAGAAATACACTGAGGGCACAAGTCATTTAACTTTCAAACAGCATTTAACTTCCAAATAGCTAAAGATTAAACAACCCCACCTAAGGCACAGCCATGTGCATTCTTGATGTGTTGCATATTATTTGGATTAGGTGCATTCTAGCAAGATGTTATTCATATTTTGTTAATAGGATTAATAAATAACTGGTGTATTTGTCACATTACATCTGTAGGCCTACTCCTCCTGCATTGGGATTTTTAATAGCTGACTTCTTACTTGTACATTGAAAGTTTGTAGAAATGCCACATACTGTAGACGTTTCTAAAACAGTTGAGGTCAGTAGCTATATTTGAGTGTACTGTAATAAAGACAGAGGCCCATTGAACACCTCCCTGACAGTCCCCAGAAGGAGAGCAGTTTTCAAGGCTGACAGTGTACATGCCCTGGTACAGTGGTAAGTGGAAACAGATGGGCTCAGGCCAAAGTGAGGGATTATACTTCCAAGCACTCAACAATAATTCACATGCTCTATATGTAAGAAAAGAAGTCTTAGCAATACAGTTCTGACAGTTTCGTCATTTTAAAAATCATTAATTTAGGATTGTGCTGCATCATTGCTTCCTCATATTCTACTTTTGAGTAACTATTCATGCACTATACCTAATATAATTCTCATTGCTCTATTATCATTGGTAGGCCTATTAATTTCTATATACAGTAGCACTATATGGAGAATAGGGCAGCTGCTTTCTCTTAGTGAAAGAAGCTCAATAAATTCAGCCATTGGTCAATATCACTCCCATTTTACCAAAAGGAAATAATTTAGACCAATTTTCTCAAGGTCAGACAGTCATTTGATAAGCTGCTGTGAACTGCAGGGTTAAGAGTGTGGGCTACTGAACATCAGCTGCTTTAATAGAGAGAAGTACAAATCGATAAAGTCTGAATGCTTTTCTGGTGATTCATTCTGATAAATACAAAGCATTTCACACACCTTCTGAGGCCAGATAATGACTGACATCGAAAAATGTGGAGTACTACTGGTATCTTCACATTTAAAAAGCAGCCTCTAAATGATACTGAGAAGATGTCACAAAATCTAACTTAGATACTAAAGTTTTTATAGGACAGCATAGCTGAGATTAGGCTAATCTACTGACTATGTGTCACACTACTCAATTTACTAAAGGGAGGAAACTGCTACATTCATTTGTATAGGTCTATCTTCAAATACAAGGATGAAAGATGGCTTTCATGATGGATTATCTCCTTGTATTTCCTTCTTTATAGATGCTGAGAAATTATCATCTCAGCCTGCTAAATATTAGGCTTTTCACCAAGTAAAACTAAAATAAAAATAATAACATTAATAGGCTACAAGTGATCCCCTTTAATCGTTATTAGTTTCATTTACAAATGGGGGAGAAAGACAAACGTGAGTCAGATTGTTTTCTTTGACATGTGGATTTTGTATCAGTGTTAATAAATCTTAATGAAATCAGGATTTGCCTGCACCTAATTTAGGTTCGTGACTTTTTGATTTAATGGCCCAAAAGCTGGAGACAAATAAGCCCACTTTAATCCCACTTACCTAAATTGACAAAACTCATAACCATGTCGGCGTCGTTGAGAAAGTTGGTTTCGTGCGCCGAGGTGAGCGCGGGGCTGTGGCCCAACAGAGGGGCCGCTCGGTAAGGCTGCGCCAGGCGCGAGTACCCGACATGCTGGGGGCTGTAGTAACCTTGCCTGGAGTGCCCTTGGGCCTTGGCACTGAAGCTCTTCCCCGCATCCTGCTGCAACCTCTCCTCCTCCACGGCCATGGCGTTGTACAGGTCGAGCATGAACAGTGGGGCGGAGGACGCCTGCTTCCCGGGAGAGAAGGGCCTCGGACGGTGAGGCAAGCCCAGGATGGAGAGGATCTCTCTCTGGATCTCTCGGCGCTCGTGATTGCGCAACCTCCTGTAAATAAAACTGGAGTGCACATGGTTGTCACTTAACCCGCAATGAGCGTAGGACAGAAAACTCAAACAGCTCCACGCAAGTCCGAGAGCTGCGCGGAACAAAGGTGTACGCGCTGTCATCTTGACAAATAGCTCACTCTGGGGTGCCAAGATGAACTACATCGCACTCTGTGGGAAAAATAAAACAATTTGATCGCTACCAATACGGAATCATAAACTTTCCATATTAGCCAGAGGCACCACAACTTTCACGGGGGTTTATTGGCCAGCCTTTTGGGGTTTTACCGGTTCTACGCTTCTACAAATGAGAAAAGTCAAGACAAGTCTGCAGAGAAGTGGTCGCTCCTCTCGTGTGCGCAAAGCTCCTCTAGTATTTAGTCCTTCGGGGTCCATCCAAAGTCTCTGCCACATCAAGTATTTATGGAGTTGTGGCCCTCACCTTATTTCTCTGAGATGGAAAAAAAACCTTGTAGGTACGCCCATAACATCGGAGGATAACCAGGAGTTTCCAGAAAATGAAATCTGTCGAACGGTGTCATACACAGAAGAACACTCGACTCATGCCCTGACTTATCCCCCTGTGAGACTGTACTGGGGCTAGTTGCCCTCTGAGTCCATCCCACACTCAACTTTTGTTTTTGCACCCACCTCCTAGCGGCCTCAATAAAACTTCAGCCCAGCTCCATGATGAATGTGACCGCTCAGGAGTGTAAAAGGAGACACTTGAAATCCGAGAGCCGGTCTTAACGAGTGAAAGAATAATGACAGAACCTTTTAATCACCTCAAGTTATTGAAATCCGCTTGTTTATAAGAGAGGACTCCAGCTGCATTCACCGACAACAAGGATCCCGTTATTATACGGCATGGGCTTAAACATGATCCACTGAGGTTCTGTAAAAAGATGGTTTTATTAAATACACCAAGAAACAATTGGGCCAGCCAGCGCTGCACCTAAAATGATACAGCAGTATAATCGTTATTACAATATAGTAACACACAGGGGAATAGATACAAATACCACAAAGGATACTGTAAACAACATTACAAACCACAGAGTCACAGCAGGACTCTATATGCTATCATCATATTAACCTATATAAATTCCATAAAGAGCAAAAGCTGACTTTGACTAGGCTATAAAAATGACTTTGGAGGGAATAGCCTTAATGTTGAAAGCTGTGTTAGAGGATCACTAAGTAATCAACATGTTGAAGTAAGCTGGGATAATTACAAACATAAATAATAAGAGGTTTCCATGTGATTAGAGCATACTGTCCAAAATGACAAGGAAACTCCTACTGTACTTAGGCTAGAAGTCCCGGACATGCTGTGTATTGCCACATAGCACCATCTAGTGTACAACTCCACTACACAACACAAATTGTTATTTGTGATGTTGCTCTGGCACACACACACACATAAGGACACACACCTACAGAAGCTTCCTGCAAAGCTGCATCCTCAGAAGAAGGCCCGGGTGATCACATTTCATCCATTTTTAATGCTAGAGTCAAAATGGTAACACCTCACAGCAAGTTCCTGCCACAAATTTCCAGAAGAAAGGTGAGAACTCTGATGTGATGGTGTTCTGAAATAAACTTGAAGCTTAGAGCTCAAAGCATAGAACAAATTAAAATCACAAATCAGTAAAAAAAAAAAAAAGATTCATTCAAAAAATCACCTTAACACAAAATAACAAAATTATAAAGCTGTTCACTGCTCAAATACACAATAATGACTTTTATAAATAACAATACAAGACCTGCTACAGTAATAAAACAGAAGTAAAAATGCCATTATATTGTTAGATGATCAAACTTTAAACATTTTACCTCCTAATTACATACGGATGAATGAATTAAACTCAGCTTTGCACTGAATGTGTACATTTCTGACATAATTTATGGTGAAAGGATTCACTGAGCATTGAATCTATAGATTATATCGCAGAAGATGTGTTTGTTAAATTGAACATAGCACCTAGTCAGTGAAAATATAGAGAAAGACATGCAACAAAGCAACACCAGGGAGCAATATGGGGAACTATACCAGCCATACTGCCCAGAGAGCAATTTGGACGTACTGTACGTACTATAGTAAGAGTTCAAGGTGCTGAAATGAGAGGTATTAAATAGAGCCAATTGTTAATTCTTTTAACATCGCTACACACAAAACACCAAAAGAGAAAATGTGGCTGTCTGAGATCACAAAAAAAGCATTCGAAGAGGTCTGTTTTGTTTCCACAACAGAGAGAAACTGTAAAGATGCAAGCTCCCTGAGAATGGCTGTTTGTTCCACATGGTGCCTGCAGTGGCGCTGCATTACATCAATAGTTTGGCCCTTTGCTGTAAGGACCCTGCCTCATCATGCTACCATAGCACATGGATGGATCACACACCCCAGGCTGGCCAGGGATGCCAGGATGACCACTTTTACCCTCTGCTCCATTTAGGCCAGGGGGGCCAGGCTTACCTGGAGGCCCTTGTTTACTGTACCCTGGGGGGCCCATTGGGCCTGCGGAGAAGAAAATACTAAGTCATGCATAGCCCAAAGGAAGAGCACACAGTATCAATCAAAATAAAAGTCTTTTTAAGTACCTCAGAAGTACATTTTTTTGTAAGTTCAGTGAAAGTGAATAGTTAGTCACTGTATTTACCTTGAGGCCCAGGTGGCCCTTGGTCTCCAGTGGTGGTTCGGCCAGGGCTCCCCTTCTCACCCTTCTCACCTGTGAAACCTGGATCTCCTGCAAAAAGTGTCCTTGTTAAAGCATCCTGCAAAACAGTTTTAGTAACTTACTGTTGATTTGATGGTGGTTTTACCTTTGAGCCCGTTAATACCAGGGCGTCCTGGCCGACCCAGGTGGCCTGGCTGTCCCCTTAAGCCATTAAGTCCAGGAAGACCCCTGAGCCCTTGGGGCCCTGTTGGACCTGGAGGCCCAGGAGATCCAGGTTGGCTTTGGCATCTGGTGCAGCTACTCTGCTGGTTGCTCAGCAACAATAAAGGCATCTCAGCTAGGATGATTGACAATGAAAAGGTTTCAGATGTGTGACGAAAACACACAGCAACACACCATCAGTCAGTCCATAACAATACTCACACTGAAGAATCTCTCTGCAAATTTGTCGAATGTGATTGTCTGATATTTCACTTGCCTGAAATGAAAAGTAATAGGTCATATGTAGCTCTTCTTTATGTTCATTGATATCAGACCTAATGTCAGTAACAACAGTATCAACAGTAAAAATCAAGGTGCATCGCACATACAGATCTTCTCTCAGGTCCAGGTGGGCCAGGAGGGCCGATGTCCCCCTGCAGGCCTCGGGGACCAGGTGGGCCTGACTGACCCGGCTGTCCAGGCCGCCCCATTTGACCCTCTTGACCTCTCGACCCCGGATCCCCTGCTGTCCCTTTCTGGCAAGGACATCACCCCAGAGTTGTTAATGCATACAGTAATTCAGGCTGGATGAACATACAGTAATTAATGCTTTCAACTTAACATACCTCTCCTTTTAGTCCCATTGGACCCATCGAACCCTGTCGGTCAAAGTTAGAATAAGTCATTAAAAACTACAATAGAAATTATTCAGAAAGCAATCTAACAGTAATCCTCAACTACTGGTTTTTAATAATAGAACATCTGCATTTGTATCAAATACAAACTGCAGAATGACAGGCATTCACAGTGGTGTTATGCCCAGTTAGTTATCATGTTGCTATAGCAGCACTTTTAGGTAGGATGCTTTGATGGATGAGTGTTTTATCAAAATTTGGTTGCAGTTGCACAATGCGTTCAAGAATTATGGCAATTCATGTCCACTAGCCTTTAAGAACATAGCAGGTTATAGGAGGGTATGGAGCATCAAAAAAAGTTCAAAAACAAATGTACCAAATTTCAAGAAAGGCGTATGAACTTTTAAAAAATTACTGGAAAAAAAAGTCACATAAAGTGGGTGTGGCCTATATGGAGAAATTATAAATGTACTAGACCAGTGGATCAGGGAAAACAAGAATTTTGCATCTAAGCCCATTAGCTTAGGAGATTTAAGTGGAAATTTAAAGTGTTCCATAAACTACCACATGGTGGCGCCATCAACTCCAAATACTAAAAATAATTTAGTATTTGGTCCAACATATGGTTAAAATCTGTTTTCCAGTATTTAGGTAATCTATTTAAGCTATTTAACAGACAAATGAACAGAGAACATCCTTGGTGGAGGTAATAAATATAGTGACTGTTGAATTTATTGCCTAAATTTAGTTGAATCTCATTCACTTCAGTCAGTATTTTGGAACAACTTTAGACAGGGGGACATCACTGCTCCAAAATACATTTCTGAATCTTTTCTTCTCTTAAAATAGAATTCTGCACATGACTAAAGTAAAGCAGGGCCCTTATATTAGCTAAAAAGTAACTTAGTACAGGCTGTTCTTTGCATCCAATGTTGCTTTCTTACTAGTGTCCATGTGTCAGAATTTGCAATCATACAATAAAGATGATCAAAAGAAGCTCACGCGATCCCCTGGCCATCCAAGGTCTCCTTTTTCACCTTTCAATCCCTGGTGAGAAAATCATAAGACTAAAGTCATCAAAACACACAAAATCAATGTTTCGGACCAAAGCTAATAATGTATGTGCTGATGACAGTCTTGCCTTGTCTTACCATCTCTCCTCTTTCACCTGAGTTTCCCCTTTGTCCCTGATAAATAAAGACAATAATAACAATAATAAAGACAGGCATAGAAGTTGAATGTAGAAGTTGGGTCAGTATTACAGATGGAGTTTCTGGAAAACTAACATTTAGAACTAAATATCCACAGGCATGTTGTGAAGCTACTGTTTGTTGACCAGTAAAACAAAAAGACCAAGTTATGAATTTTTATTAAATCATATACCTGAAAATGTTTCCATGAAATAACAAGGAGGGGAAAGGGTGTAACAACCCTGGCAGAAAAAAATAAGTAGGAGTACCTTGCTGCCCGTCAGGCCTGGCATGCCTGGGTACCCTGGCTGACCTGTTTCTCCTGGTTCCCCAGCAGCCCCCTTTAAAAGCATTCATTTAAACACCAATCAATAAAAACTATAACATACTTTATTTATACTACAGGCTGTAAAACATCCAAAAAGGAAACATACCGCTGGCCCTGGTGTTCCTTGTACACCTGGACTTCCACTGTCACCCTTAGCGCCCTAGATTAACAAATAAAACACGACTTATGTTACAGAAACTACCTATACAATGAAATAACAACCACACCATATCACTGACTGGAGTTTGGATCGTATTTTCACTTTCTTAGCATTACTCATTTTCATTGGTGCGTGAGATAGTTTAAGCATATTTCCCTGAGGTTTTGGGATATTGCAGCTTGATGTTTCATTGTGTATCGTTGTTTGCTTTCTTTTCCAGATGAACAAGCCTAAGTAATTGCAGTCTGATGCTCAGCCGTAAGTATTGCCCGCCTGTCCATAAACTAGGTTTTCTTTTATGTGCCATTTAACAGTACACATGAGCTTGTTAGAGGCAGATTGGCTAATGAAAAGTGATTAGGAGACAGAGTGCCCAGACCAGACAAGCCCAGACTGCTTTCATTACCACTAAAATTCCACTGACAAAAGCAGTGAGGCTGGATCATCACTTAATTTAGCTCTGCCGATGTGGCCAAGAGATCGTTTCTTGTGCTAAGGAGTATTTTAGAAAAGCAGTGACTCAGCAAAACATGTAATGCTGCTGACCTCAGCAGCTTTCTGTGAATTTCAATTTACCTTTTGGCTACCAGACTTGAAAGATACAACCTTTGCCAAAATAATGACACCGTGCACTGAACTGCATTTGGTATACACTGGACAATATAGGCCTTGGGAAGGTATTGTTACTGATGTGCTGTAATTGTTGGTAACTATAATACACTGTGCGTAGAGTCAACTGACGTGGCTTAGCCTGCAGCTTGTTGGTTGCTAATGCCAGCTTCTGTGGATTGATATGCAGTATTGAGTTTTGTGGGTCACAATTTGAGTCAGTGTGCTGACAGGCCCCAGGGATAAACACATTATACAATATTTAGAGCATAGTTTATCCATTTTAAATACTATACTCAATCTTTTTGATGTCTGTCAGCAAGATGAAAGTTAGTCATTATTTCTGCTAGCTTTACTGTGTGTTTGGATTACTAACAATACAGCTGTTTAAAGAAGCTCAAAGTGATTCTCTAACAGGAATAAAGGATTACCTTGGGTCCAGTTGGTCCTTTTAAACCAGATGCACCAGGTAAACCAATCTCACCCTGAAGAAGAGTGAGGAAATTCTTATGACAACTCTTCAGGTTCAGTATTAACACGTTGGTGTGCACTGAACTTATGCACAAGCAGTCTAACAACTGTTAAAACTTACAGGTGGTCCAATGGATCCTTTGAAACCCTTTGCTCCAGGTGAACCAGCTTCACCCTTAAATGAGAATCATGTCAGTCAAGTATAATCACAAAGAAGGATCAATTTATTTTGCACATACATTGGGAATTTATTACCTTTTGTCCATTCAGGCCTGCTATTCCTGGCAATCCAGGCATACCCTGACAGCAAGCAGATTATATTGTATTTCAGATTAAGGTATATTAGAATGCCAAAAAGAAAAAAAACTAAATTGTTGTACTGTATGTATATAAATGAATGAATGAATTTGTGTATGAATCGAGCAGTGAGTTCAGTTTTGACATTAACTACATTATGTCAGGGACCATTGTAACCACTTGAACTGGCCATCATGTGCCAGGAAACAGCTTTCTAAGTGTTACACTCCCAAACTGGTTGGAAAGTAGTGCACAGGATGAGTAGAAAAATATGGTTTGGAGCTTTTGTTGCCAATAATAATTCTATATATGCAACAGTAATTTAATATATTAACCCCACCCCACCCACTTGCACTAGTAGAGCACTGTTTCATCACCATGTCAAACCTTAGATGTAATGAATGTGTTGCAGGTGGACTGCACATGTTTGATATTTACTGATAAATCCAGTAATGCTACAAAATACATGCACTATATGAAAACAAACACACAAATTTATGAAGAAATTGGTTAATAGAGTAGAAGGTTATTTAAATGAACAAATATAGCAAAATTCAAACTTTTTGTTCTAGCTATTTAATCATTTTCTTCAAATGATCAAGGGTTTCAAGGCCTCCTGTACCAGTATAAATAGAATGGGGTTGAGGTGCTTTTTCACTTGACTGGCTATTTTATTCTGAGACAAATACTTGCAGATGCTCAGCGGTTGCCTCATTCTGAAGTGAGAAACATATGCGCATCAAGAATAGATTAGACATGCAGGCAGAGTGACTGACATATACAGTCACTCAGACACTCACACTAAACGTACAGGTGAAAAAACCCCTGCACTAAAGTGTTCACCTCCTCTTGTTTTAACTTTAGGAAGTATAGTACTAATCCTGTCTCCTTGGATACATTGCTAACTTTATTATTTTGATGAGGGAAAATGGCTTACAGCCTCGTGGAGCAACTGACTCATCTTTTTCAGAGCCATCACAAACCTTTGGACAACACAGTCATGATCAGTGGGGTGGTTGCCCATTTCAAACACTTTCTTCCTAAAACAGATTTGCCGAAGCATCTCAGTATTCCCTCGATGAGTTGCTTTCACTGCCTTAGTTTATAGCCTGGGCCTGCTTGTTACATAACAGGGTTATCCTGGGATGAACTACTGGGGAATACCCCTAATTTACTGGCTGCCGGCGGTACTTTCTGTGCTGCTGACAGTAGGTTAACACACTGCTGTTTTAATACCATAAAAAAATTATATGCATCTATTTGCCTGTTTTACCCTCATGTTACTTATTTGTTTTTGTTTTTTCATGTCAGCTAAAATTTGTATAGCATTTGTCAATAAACTATAATGTGAAGTATCACATCCAGTACATAAAGTTCTCCTTCTGAAAAACTGAAAAGTTTGAATCTTAATACAGCATGGCAGTCATATTTCATCTTCATGTTTAGTTTATGTACAATTTGCATCAAACCCTCCATTTGTAGGAGTCTACTCAAACATCCTGTACAAACAGTAATGTCTGTGTTTCCAACTCACAGGATGGCCTTCCCTTCCATCAGCACCAGGGATACCACCGGCCCCAGCTTCTCCCTTTATGCATTGGAGAAATAAAAGCATTATTAACACATTTCAACTGCATCCAAATTTTAATCATTAGCCCCTAATTTGACACATACACTACACAGAGTTGTCTGCTACATTTTATTTCTCATGTTGGATTGATTAAATATCTAAAACACAAAGAACACCTGTGATGTTTATTAAAGTTGTCAGATGAGGTCTGGAGAAAGACCTCATGCCTCTATTACTCTTCTAATCTTTGAATGAACTTTGTAACATAGCTATTTTGTACTGTCAAAAGAAACCCACCTTTTGACCTGGTACTCCTGGAAATCCATCCTTCCCATCTCTCCCAGGTAGGCCCTAAAATGAGTGAAAAGGATTTTACATACTGTTGTAATGGCACATAAGCTCTGGATTTGATTGTGAATTGTTTTGTACATACAGGTTTTCCTGGATAACCGGATGGCCCAGGAGGTCCCATACTTCCCTTTTCCCCCTGGAAATGTCATACCATCCCATTAAAGTTGTTACATTCCTTGTGCCATGTTCACTGACTGAGCTGTATTGGAGAGTACATGGTGTTTTTTGCACCCTTACCGCCTGCCCAGGTTTCCCCGGTAACCCTGCAATTCCTGGGGATCCTTTAGTACCCTGAAATGATATTTAAAACAATTATTAGATGGGATCTAAAACATACTTCCTACCTTCCACAGTCTAAGCTGACATGATTTATTTGAACTTTCAAACAATGATGAATCTGCCACTCATCTGAAGTACTAACTCAGTCTTCTTTAGTCAGACCAGGAAACACAAGTTACGCAGTGTGGGACAGGGGTACCCCATAGATCTACTGTAGAATCTACATACAGTCAGTGTTTCTTATTAGTCAGCACTGGCCTTGCTTTTCAGGGATTGATGAATTATAGCACTTTTTCAAATGAAACCTAAGGGAGTGATGTGTTGACCTAAACCTAGATTTTAGTACTACTGTATCTGCTGAATGTTGCCTAAACTTGGAGAGTGATGCATCACTGTATTTTTATATTTGCAAATTAAAAAGCATGATTTTGGGACAAAGCAGAACATTACATCTTTTGTTTTCTAAGGTTTTGCATTCCAGTCTTCATTATGCTAATCAACTCAAGAGGGAAGAAATCACTGTGCAGCATGAGACCAAATTTTGATACTGGCTGGCTCATGGACCTTTGTGGGTGACAATATTTTTATTGTGACCTCATTTGTAAAAATATTTTATATATAAAGCAGATGATGCAATGAAAATGTAGAGAGAATTCAGTATTTAGTTAACAAATAGTTAACAGGTCCCAGGAGCATCAAAAATCCCTGCAGTTCTGTTTACAAAAGTAATTCCAGTCCAAAAAAACACAATGTGTGTAGTTACTGTCTTAATAAATTACAGAGCTCAGTAGCACAGGCTGGAAACCCACATAATTACCAATAAAACTGTGTTTCAGAGGTGATGAATGACTATGGTCAAGAAAAAGCAGCACAGACTGTGAATACACAAACACAGCCAGTCTTTAGCGAAGTGACTAATGATCTTTCTCCCTCTTGTGTCCTTATTAAGTATATCTGACTTAGTTTAGTAGACATCTTATGTTCCCATTCTCCTGATCCAGTGCCAGGGAAGAAAGACTACACCCTTGGGTGGTCTTACAATATGACAACAATTTGAAAAGGTAGATGTAAATGTGCTTGCATCCAAATCTCAGCCTTCAAGATGAGGATTCCCTCAAATCCTAAGAGAAGCTTCATGCTGGTTGAAGACCTTCCTTCAGAGATTATTCTGTGTTGTGGGGCTTTAGCGTCCCTGAGTGTGAACATCTCCTGGACCCAGGCAGAAGGGAAATTCAGTCACCCAGACCAAAGATTGTGGAGAAACCTTTCACATGGCCACTACAAAGAATAATAAAGTTGAATGCTAAATGCTTGAATGTGCACAAGCCAAAAGGATTTATGCTCATACTGTGTCATATTTAAGAAATACTTTCCCTATTTTGTCAGATATGTAAAGGGTCAATTTATTGATGCATTTATTGCCAGATGGCACAGGAGGATTTGTTCCAGGTGTGCATGTGTCTGCAGCCAACTGAGCCCATTTTTAAAATGACATTAGCTGCTTCACCTGTTCTACACTTCATCTACAGTAGCTGGCAGAGGGACATGGTGATAACGAGGTGTGAATATATGATCTCACAAGAACACAAAATGTTGCTGATGAGCATTAAAGCAGTCAGAGCCATAGAAGAGTTGCAGAGAGACTTCACTTTTGTCTGGACTAGCTGTGACAGCTGCACATTTCAGCTCACAGATGCTTTGTTCTTGTGGATGTTGTGCTTTTTGCCTTCTTACACTTGTTATACTGTAGATCGCACACAAAACAAACCACTTGTTTTTTAGGGAAAGGGAGGCATAAAAACCAGGAAATATGAACAAAAAGTCTCTGGTGGATCTCTCTGCAATGTGCTATTATTTCACAATACAGAAATTGCACTATTACTCTCTCCACATTCATGGTTTCTAGAATAATGGATGTCCCAGTGTTCACTGTTCAAGTTGATGTGTCAGCTCTGGCCAATCAATACAATCAATACTTTGACAAATGCCAAAGTTAAACAGCATCTCCTAGAGGATATTCTGAAAAAGCATCTAAGGCAGGATTATTGTGACAAGGGTACAGCATTATGGAGTAGAAATGTGGGTGACATATTTGATTAATGAATGTTATCACCTTCTCTCCTGGTTGTCCAGGTGCTCCTTCTAATCCAGGCATACCCCTCTCACCCTAACAGAACAGACTTGTATTAGAAAATTGGATTTTAGTCATCACAAATAATGCTGCAACATCACAAGGAGATTAGGTGCCACAATGTGTCTTTTTTCCTTCCTACCGAAACACCAGGTCTCCCTTGCTCCCCTTTGTACCCGTCTGGCCCGCGCGGCCCCTGTCAGAGGTAACACAACAAACCACGGTTATATTTTCTATCATTAATGCTGAAATGAACATGCATGAATTTAACAAAGTAGATTAAGTGAAAATTTTGTCACCTCTACTCCTGGAGAACCTGGCAGCCCTGGGCTCCCTCTAATGCCAGGGGTACCCTTAAACAGGATGGGAGATACACACACTTGGTTAAACATTTGAGTCCCTTCTGCTGTGTTTGTCTTCCCTGAGTGACTCCAGGCTGCCGGGTGGATTCTTTAGATTTTTGATGATGTGTAGAACATGTGGTTCACTTTTAGATGGTTTTCATCACACTAAATCACAACTCAGCTGCCTCTATTGCTACAATCAGATGTTTTTATTTACCCATTGGAAAAACAAGTAAAGATGCTAATTCACCACAGCGCTCAGATGCAGTCCTGACCACATATGTAGAATTATCAAAATTGGTCACGAACTAATAGCTGCATTAATTCAAATGGGTTTTGACGTTTTGTCAGTTGTTGTTGTGGGCAGTTGCAGTATGTTCTGTATGTTTGTATATTGAACTATGTAGTACTCACAGGCTTACCATCAGCACCAGCAGGTCCAGGCTGACCAGGTTTGCCAGTGTTTCCTTGTTCCCCCTAAAGAAAGTGAAATGGCAAAATCTATTCATGTATATCTATAACTAAATTGTTTGTACATCAAACCAGTGTGGATTTAAAACATCTCTAGTAACAATATGCTTTTTCAGACACAAAGTGTTGATGTAATTTATCTATAGACTGATGAGTAAATTGGTTTAGCTAATGTAAGAAGCTTTATGTGGGGTTCTAAAAAACATCTGCAAGTCAGCAATAGCTCCAGCAGTTTGGATCTACGTATTAGTAAATGTAGTAAAACCACAGAATTGACCTTATAAACATAAACATGCCTGAAACCATGTACTGTAGGTTTACTTAACAAAGAGTTTTCTTACTATGGAAATAGCTATCTGAGGTCCTTGTGTGAAGGCTTTTTATACAGGGCTGCTATTATTTGAATGATGCCCTGTGACCAGTTAAGACAGCGATGTAGGTTTCTTCCCTAGTTTTTCCGTTGTAACCAGTGTTTATCGTAAAATGTGGTCTGGTTTGTTTTAAGCAAACAGTAGAATACAACATAATCCCACAAGACTAATCATAACATCTTCAGATTGGAAAGCCTCAGTTTGCCTAGCTGGAATAAAGAGGCTTTGTTGCACACCCATAATTCAGAAACCTGACCATTGTCAGCAGGTAAGTGTTTTTAAAAGTGCTAAAACCTCTCACAGAGCACTGTTTCTGGCACAAAGGAAAGCTGTCTTTAAAGGCTGTAATGTCTGTAGTTTGAGTTGACCTGATAAAGTCCAGCCCCGTGTGCTCATCACATAATTATCCAACACAACATTTCAGCATCAGCACACATTTCCTCAAGGCTAAACTGTAAAAAGAGAGAGAGATGTTGTGCTCTGTCTCTCAGACAGAAGCCATTTACTCCCTTTGTCATTCCTGAGTTTAAACATAAACTGACACTGTTAAAGATTAAGTTGTATTTGTATTTTTCTCTTGTTTAATCTCACCAGACCACCACTGTTTAATGTAAATATTTAACCAAATGTCTGAACAGCAGGGAGCTGGATAAGACAGAACCCTGTGCTGGAGCAAGAACAGACTTCACTGTCTAATTTCCAAGTGTGGCAATGTTTGCTTATTAGGTATAAACTGTAAAACAACAACTCAACAGAAGCAAATACATTAGAGGAAAGAGAGAAAGAGTAAAAAAAGGAAAAACTGACCTTCATTCCTGCAGGTCCAGGAGGTCCAGGAGGACAAACACAAGGTTCTTGAGTTGGTTCAATGTAATCAGCACTGTTAGAGCACTGTAATTAACAAGCATAACTATATATCATGACCACATAGCACAGACCTGTTTCTTTCCTTAATGTTATTCTTTGTAAGGCTGCAAGTGACAACATTTGTTAGTGTTCATACATTTGGCAGCTTTTTTTTCTTTTTGATTGATCAGTTAAAAATACTGATCAAAATTTCTTGAAGCCTGATTTTATACCTAAATATCTTAATTGATTTATCCATAATAAAAAAAATCTGTTGTGATGAAAGAATGGATTAGCTTAATGTTTCAGCTGTAGTCCTTTGGTTTGTTTCTTGCTCCACCTGATTCAGACATTGGCCTGTATCACTTGTTATTGGAACCATAGTTATAGTAGATTCAATGTGCCGTTATGGTGCCACAGACCATTTGCTGTACATCATATAAAACTACTAAAAATGGACCTGCATTTAAATATAAAAAGTCATTTTTTTCTATAATGTAAACTGGATGTCTTTCTGTTTGTATTAAAAAGGTGTAAGATTTTGCCAGAAGGGCATTTAAGCCTTCACTCAAACAGAAATTCACAACTAAACTTGAAGATTCCATTACAAATACACCTCTGAAAAACCCATACAGATAGGAGAGAACCAGTGGTACTCAGCAAGCTTTTGTAATTTTAGGCTTCTCATCTTGTCTCTTTTGATATTTTTATCCAACAGCTTCACATTAAAAACAGTAATTTGGCACTGGGTTTGTGGTTACAGCAATTCCCAAGCCAAGATAAAACAGGCCATTGCTTCACAAACACAACCGGAGCCAGCAGACAATAAAAAAATATACTGTGTTCAAAATGTTTGAAGCTGAGCCACGGGTGCTCCTCCAGAAAAATATTTTCTGCATAAACAGATGTTACTTAAACTGAGTTCCATCACACCATGACTACACGGCACTACAATGCGTTGCACTGATTAACTAAAAATCGATGAAGCATGATTTTTTTCTCTTCTCCATGCAGTGTAAGGTGTGGAGGTAACTGATGACGACATGATTGGCCGGATGAACGTGCAGCGTGCTTTGGAGTTGAAGCAGATTCAGTTTGATAAAATGAGAAGTAGATGTGTAGTTATTTTTGTTGCTTTTGGACTAAAAAGCCCTTGCAGAGCAGGCAGAGTCTGGTACTTACCACTCCAGGTATTTCACATGCAGTCTCCCGGTTATTCTGCTCTGGATCACAGTAAATGCGAAGTTTCTGAATTTCAAACTAAGAATTTAGAGAGAGAAAGAAAGAAGAACTTGTTAAAACACAATCTTCACTGCTGGAGACTTTAAACAAGCTAATAAAACAAACTAAATGCATTAATTTTCCAACATTTAATTCAGTTTTATCTGTGCTTTGCCACTAATTAATTGAAATTGTTCATGTAGAACTGTTAAAGGAAAGTTTAGTGTCTTCACTGAGAAGCTAAATGTTGTCAGACCCTCCTCAGTGTCTGGTCTGAAGTGATACTCACATTCACTTTGTTTAGACTTCATGACTCTTATATACTGTATTTAGGATTTTAGTTTAAAACATGGCTGCATTATTTGATTTGATTTTCATTTATGTTACAAGCATTTTATTTCACTGACCATCACAGTGACCACAAATACAACAGTGTCAAACTAATTGTGTAGTTATATAGGTGTGCAAGGTATTTTAGAACCCTTGGATGTATTGTGCAGAATATAGTTTTCCCAGAACCTCATAATTACATAAACATGTTATATTATGTTTGCAGGGATGTAGTTTTGCATCACTCTTCAAGAAAGTGTGTGCTATGCAGAACAAATTACAACAAAACAGTTATGATTTATTAAAAATACTGTATTTTTGGCACAAATTGCACCAAGTGACACAAATAAAATGAATATTAATAAAACCTTTGGGAGAAAATAAGCTCATTTTTGCCAAGCATTTATTAAATATGGCTGGTGATACTGGTAAACTTACAGGCACTGTTGTTTCCTTTCTGACATATTTTCCAACTTGAGTTTTTCCATTGATGAAAATACCAACGGGGGTATCCAAGGACAGAGTTTCTATTTCCAGATCATCGACATAAAGGGTAACATCCTCCTCAGTGACCAGCAGCCGCAGCTGGTGCCAGTTCTCGTCAAACAGCTTCTTTATTCATAAAGAAAGAACAGGAAACAGAAGTCATAAATACAGTTTTTGGACACTGGAAGCATTCTGGTAAAGACAATAGCAACAAGCAATGTAGTACAATAAATGCTAAAAAGAAATGGGTAAGTTGAAATATCCCAGGGTGTGTCACGATTAACATCAGTCTGGAAATACTGTATGGATGTTACTGCCAGATCGGGGGAGTTGCTGTGTCTGAGGTTCAGAGCAGGAAGCAGGAAGAACAAAGTACCTCTCTGGGGGAGTTGATACTGATTGTTTGAACCAGGACAGTACACACTATTCATATGTGTACTGTCATCTCATCATGCAATGTAGCTCTACAAGTGCAACAAATTTAGCAAGAAGGTTCTGGGTTCAAACCCTGACCAGAGCCTTTCTTTATGGAATTTGAATGTTCTCCCTGTGCTGGTGTGGGTTTTCTCCAGGTACTCTGGCTTCCTCCCACAGTCCAAAGACATGCAGGTTAGCTTAACTGGTGACTCTAGGTTGTTTGTAGGTGTCAATGTGAGTTGGAGTAGTTGTTGGTTTCCATGTGTTAGCCCTGTGATACACTGGAGCCAGTCCAGGGTGTACCCTGCTTCTCGCCCGGTGTCGGCTAAGGTCGACTTCAGCGCCCCTCAGTGACCATGAACAGGATAAGTGCTATACTGTAGATTATAAATGGCATGGGAAAATCAAAGCAGTAGACAATGAGATATCCTAACTTTGTGACTCTGGTATGGTTCAAGCTCCACAAATGATAGATCCTGCAATCCTAGCAGTGTCTCTTCATCCTCTGCTCGGTAAACACCTACATCTTTCAAACGCCATGATTACAGTGTACAATGTTAAAAAAACTGTAGTTTCTAAAGCTAACCTTGATGACGTCACTCTGACAAAACTTCTTTAGGAGCAATAGAAGATCTTACAAATGTTTGTGCAGTCTATGTAGTAGTACTGTACTAGTAATACACAAACTAATCTTTATGTGCAAAATAGATTTCCCCTTAAGACCTTTTCAGATGTATAATACACAGTGTTAGCTTACCCTTGATGTATGCTTTGAAAATGTAACGGTTTGAGTTCCACTTGGTGCGTTACTGGATGTGGTGAACGAGACGGTGCCATCCAGGCCATTGAGAGTCACTGCCATTTGAGGTTGCCCGTCACGTGTCTGTACTCTCCACAGATCCCATACTTCCCTTGTCACTGATCCTTTATACCTCAGTGTGGCCACGAAAACATACGATGGGGGCAGGCCATCAGGAAAAAGGGTCCTGAATGAGAAAATGAAATGGTATAAAGTCAGTCAACTTTGACAACAGTGATGACAATGAAGAAGGAATAAAATAAGGTGATTACCGTGTAGTTTCACTCAAGTCAAGATGAGACGTCACCTCATAGGCCTTAATGTTTTTAAACGCCCCTTGTGTCTTCTTAGCTTTTTTGGCCAAATTTAGATGTAACAGTATATCAAAACCCTTCTCATCGCGAGAATCTACAGGAATTCTTGTTGGACAAACAGTCTCTGCAAGAGACAAACACAGTGAAATAGACACACATAGGGACAAATAACAGAATAATGGAGAATAGGATGAGAGGGAGTAGACTGAGTTGAAGATACTAGTACTGTCATGAAATGGATATTTGACCTCATAATATTTAAACAGAAAGCTCCACATTTTGATCAGCAGTTGCTCACCTTCACACAGTTTCTGTCGTATGACCTGTATGATCCTGGAAATAGCTTTATAGTCCTCAACAGAGAAGACATAAGTTGAGAATGGCTTGTTAGCAATGTCCCTCAACTCAGCTTCTTCTGTCTCTGGACCAACACCGATTGCAAACAGAATTAGTCCTTTTTTTCTTGCTTCCTCTGCTGCTTTCAGAACCTTATCTTGGGACTTCCCATCTGTGAGGACAACAGCAATTCTGGAAATGCCCAGTGGGCTACGTTCAGAAAGATCAAACAGTTTGTCTGTAGCAAACTTGATGGCTGCGCCAGTCCTTGTGTTTCCTCCCATATACTCAATGGACTCCATTGCTTTGATGAGGTCTTTATTAGAGGAGTACTTCCCCAGAGGTATTTCTAAGACAGGGTCATCGCTGTACTGGACGACTCCAACCTGGGTAAACCTTTGTCCAATCTTGAAGCTCGTTGTTATATTGACAAGCCATCGCTTTACTATTTCAAAATTGACATCTTCAACGCTCCACGAGCCGTCTAGAATAAAGACCAAATCACATGGTGCGGTCCTACAACCTGAAGCAGACAGGAAATGAACAATTAACAGTGTGAAATACTGGTTTTAACCAATCATACCTAGTTTGTTGGAATACATTTATGTATTACATAAAATCACCTTTTCCAGTTGTACGCACTAGACAGTTTTTAATTTATGGTAAACAAGCACAAAAAAGTGTGAGAAAATGAAGACAGAAGAATTCTTACTTCTTAAGTCTTCATCTTGAGCTGCACTAAACAAATGGAGAAGCATGAAGCACACACATCTTAAGACACAATGTATGGATGTCGCTTTGTGACCCATTATGCAGCCGTACCAATTTACAATTGTGCACCTACGGGGAAAAGGGAAAACAGGCTTTGTATTACAGGGAAAAATAAAAGCACAATGCAAGCATTTGTGACATGTGGTCCCTGGGTCATTTTGCACTGACAGAAGTTAATGTCTCAGACTATTGTTTTGTATTTTTGAGATGTTACTGTAGGTTGCCAATTATTCTGGCTCTGCATAAAGTTTAAGGTCAAAACCTTACAAAACAAAAATAATCCACTACCTGTAGTTTAACACATACGTAATTATGGTGTAATACCTGTAGTTATACAAGGATATTTGCTGTGTTGCCAAATAAATTAATTCAAACCTCCTCCACAACTTGTCTTAATGTGGAGTGAGGTGCCGTTGAAGCCTCCAGTGAACAGCACTGGCAGCAGTGCAGCGATATGAGCTTCTAAAAGCTTTTGAGCAGGACTGACCTCTCTAACCAATCAGAGATTTTCAATTATTTCTGCTTGACCATTGAGTTTTGTTGCCGTCTCATTTATTCTAATTTCATAATGACAGGTACTGTATCTGTAGAGCTGGGCAGAGCACAGCAGATTGCAGAGCATAGTGGAACAGGGAGAGGGAGTGTTGGGGGTCAGCAGAGTGGATTGACTTGGAGTTTCATGCTAGCATCACCTTAAGTTACATGCTGTAGCTTTAAGCATGCAAATTAGCAGCATTAGTGCACTGAGGTCACGTTATCTGTCTGCATAATGCCCCAAAGTCCAGCCTGTGTTAGATGAAGGTGATCTGATTAAGCTTTGTATGAATATGTATGACTTGAGCTTGACAGCAGGAAGTCCATGCATAGGCATCTGTGATGACTCCTTTTTTTTAGTTGCAGAAACCTTTACTTTTTTCCCTAAAACTACATTATTTGGCTGTTTTCGCAGTGGAAAAATGCTGACATATCACCTTGTAAAGTTGATATGATGGACATTTTAGCAAATAGTTGCTTTATTGCACATCCAGCAGACAACACCAGTACACATTTGGTTTCATGTTACTATCCACCTGGCTTATTTATGTTAAATATGCTCTCTATTTAGTGCTGAGCAGGTTGCATTTTTGCTGCAAACAGAAAAAAGGCTGAGGACAACGGTGAGAATGAATCAGAACAATATATTTGCAGGATGGGAATCCAAAACAACAAACGTGAAGGGTATACACCTCTGTAGAGGTGGGGGAAACTGTAGAGCTGGGTGGTTACTCTCTATGGGTTTGTCACAAGGGGCAACACCTTTAACATAACATATAGTAATCTGATAATTTTTTACACTAAATATTGATTAAAGCAGCTTTAAATGTCAAGTTACTGTACATGTTATTAATTTGCTGGTGGGGACCAGCAATTCTGACACTTTTCCAGCGAAGGCATCAGCCACATGGAACCATAAGTGACATAACACAGGACAAGAATCCACACTGAGACATGATTCATACTGTCTTTCTTACAGTAGTAAACCACAAAAGGAAACCATACAGGGCACCATGCTGCATTGAGAAGCAACACTACTCATTAGTCACCTACCCAGAATATGGCACACGGGCGCATGTGCAAAGACAATTAGTCCATATTTGCTCTTTCCTGAGTTTTATTCACCTCCTACTTCCCACCACTGCCGCTGACACTACCCACAAATCCCGGATTCACTTACATTAGAGTACTTGTAGTGTACCACTAAGTTATACTTTAAACTCTGTATCCTAACCCTCTATCTTTCCAAACCTGCTACACAGCCTTCGCCGCCTCATCTACCACATCCTCACATGGTACTGTCAGCTTTATTAAATAAACTATTCTCTAAACCTCTGACCACAACTGCCCTTGAACCAGTGCTTGGTATTTCCTGTTGGATCATCAGCTGTTTCCTCAAATCTGTTGCCGTTTGCCAATCTCTGCCTGCCCTTGGCACAAATACAATACGCCTGCCCAGAAAAACTTCACTCATACACTTTTCCTTCCTCATGGATAATACCAATTGTAATACCTTCCTTCCAAAGTGATTTTAACCAGTTATTGCTACATGCTGCTGTAGCTCTTACAATCTTAAAATGCCACCAGGTGTGTCGGTTTACACTCTGGCAAAATGTTTTAAAACACATGAATGTCTGAAAATATGGAAAACAAAGGTGTTAGCTAAACAATTTATAAATATGATCAATCTCTTTTGCTTTGTTTCCATACTTTTCAGCTCTCTCCAGCACAGAGCCATTCAGATCTCCTAAAACTGCCTCCCTTTTGCTGAGCTCAGCCCTAAGGCTCCCTACTCTACACCTGCACCTGAACAACATCCTTGCTCTACTGGTTGAGTGCTGAGTAGTGAAACATCTTTCCAAACATATGAGCTGATATCCCAGTGTAATCTCTCTTAAGTTATATGATTATTTTGGTATTTTGATACTTGATCTAATCTAACTAAGTTCTCACACCATAACTGGTCATTTGCAAAGTTCAAGATGTGGACATTTTCCCGATCTGGCACTTTCATCAGCAGAACAAAAATCAACCAGCAGTGCTTTTTCAAAATCAAGTGGTTAAAACAACTTGATTAAGGGTAGGAAAACCTGTGGTCATGGTTAAAGAAACCAACACTGACTGTTGGTAAAAGACAGGATGCAAACCACTGTCTCCAGTAACATCAGATGTTTCGTTCATCTGCAATGAGCTCAGAATTTTGTGTTATAGAAGAAGATACTTCTAAATGTTACATAATTTTGCACAAATTATCCATAATTCAATTTATAGAAATTATATTGTTAGGACTTTATGAACGGCAGTGCTGGTCAACACTTTCCTTGTAGCAGCATCAGCAGGTTCACTTTGGCCTTTCAGTGAAATGCCTCTAAAACGTTTTTATGGATAGCCATGACATTTGGTACAGATATAGCCTACATGTTGTCCCAAAATGACATTTCCATAAGCCTCTGCCTTGCTTGGTGCTAAATACTAATGATTGTGAGATTACTGCGCATGTTAGCATGCTAACGCAACACCCTAAGGCGAACATGGTGAACATTATACATAAACCTCAGCATGTTAATATTGTAAAAATGTTAGCATGCTCACAGAACCACTAGCATGAATGAATACCAAATAATAAAACAATGGGATGTTACTGTATGTACATGCTATTTATTGCTAGTTTATTTCTGTAACAGGCAAACATTGATATTATGTGCTGCAGACAACATGTAGTATCATAGTATGTTGATGTTTATGAAATTAGAGATTAAATGGGATATTAAGAGCCAGATAAAACAATGAAAAGAGCTGTATTTACATTTAGTGATAATCAGCTAGAGAGTTGCATGGAAACAGACAGCAGACATTTGATCGATTTGATTTCTGTGTAAATGAAAAAAAAAACTGCTGACATCTTAAAAGGAAGCAGCTACAAATGAGGACCAAGTATGTTGCTTTAAAAGACTGACACAAAAGATCTCCTAAAACTGCCTCCCTTTTGCTGAGCTCAGCCCTAAGGCTCCCTACTCTACACCTGCACCTGAACAACATCCTTGCTCTACTGGTTGAGTGCTGAGTAGTGAAACATCTTTCCAAACATATGAGCTGATATCCCAGTGTAATCTCTCTTTAGTTATATGATTATTTTGGTATTTTGATACTTGATCTAATCTAACTAAGTTCTCACACCATAACTGGTCATTTGCAAAGTTCAAGATGTGGACATTTTCCCGATCTGGCACTTTCATCAGCAGAACAAAAATCAACCAGCAGTGCTTTTTCAAAATCAAGTGGTTAAAACAACTTGATTAAGGGTAGGAAAACCTGTGGTCATGGTTAAAGAAACCAACACTGACTGTTGGTAAAAGACAGGATGCAAACCACTGTCTCCAGTAACATCAGATGTTTCGTTCATCTGCAATGAGCTCAGAATTTTGTGTTATAGAAGAAGATACTTCTAAATGTTACATAATTTTGCACAAATTATCCATAATTCAATTTATAGAAATTATATTGTTAGGACTTTATGAACGGCAGTGCTGGTCAACACTTTCCTTGTAGCAACATCAGCAGGTTCACTTTGGCCTTTCAGTGAAATGCCTCTAAAACGTTTTTATGGATCGCCATGACATTTGGTACAGATATAGCCTACATGTTGTCCCAAAATGACATTTCCATAAGCCTCTGCCTTGCTTGGTGCTAAATACTAATGATTGTGAGATTACTGCGCATGTTAGCATGCTAACGCAACACCCTAAGGCGAACATGGTGAACATTATACATAAACCTCAGCATGTTAATATTGTAAAAATGTTAGCATGCTCACAGAACCACTAGCATGAATGAATACCAAATAATAAAACAATGGGATGTTACTGTATGTACATGCTATTTATTGCTAGTTTATTTCTGTAACAGGCAAACATTGATATTATGTGCTGCAGACAACATGTAGTATCATAGTATGTTGATGTTTATGAAATTAGAGATTAAATGGGATATTAAGAGCCAGATAAAACAATGAAAAGAGCTGTATTTACATTTAGTGATAATCAGCTAGAGAGTTGCATGGAAACAGACAGCAGACATTTGATCGATTTGATTTCTGTGTAAATGGAAAAAAAAAACTGCTGACATCTTAAAAGGAAGCAGCTACAAATGAGGACCAAGTATGTTGCTTTAAAAGACTGACACAAAACATCATATCTATAGCTATTGCTAACTGTAACATGTGAAGGTCAACAAATAGTGGCCAGGATATAACAATGGCTTGGCAATGCTTTTTAATCCTGTGCAGCCAAAGAGGAGTCACACTCTTTAACATGACTGCATTTTTCCTCCATGTAAACTCAGTGTAGAAGTTACACAATTGAAGGAGGCTGCCAAAGTTGTGCAAGTCGTTTTCTTCAGAATCTTGCCCCATGAGAGAGCTGGAGGAGGCTGCTGGAAAACCCCCTCACTGGCAGCGCCCAGCCAGAATGACTTTCCCCTCGACTGACTCTCCCAATGCTGAATATTTCTACACCTTTGCCTGAGCCACATGGAATTCATTTAAACCATCAGACGGTGAAATTCCAGCTGTGGACATTGACCAAACATATGTAGTCATGATGAAGGGAAGCAACTTACCAGGGATAACAGTGCAACATTAACCATGCTATATTATTATGTTTAGAGAGCATACATATTGCAGCAGAATTGTGACATAAAGGTGCATTTATGTCACAGGTTTCTGCCACAATCCAAAGATCTATGTTACAGAAGCAGCAAAGTCACTGCAGCTCCAGGTTTTTGTTATGGTGATAATATCAAACAAACGTTTTTGTGAATAAAACTACCATATGTTCTTATTTCTGGGTTGAGCCTGTTGTGCATTGCAGTACTTTGGGAATATAACAAGATTTATGTGGAGCTTAGTCTGTGGGCAGTTTAGCTGCAGCTAAGTATGCTGTTCCAGCTGATATGCTGTTCAAGAAGTTGCTGAACAAATGCTTTTCACATTTCAGTTGATCAGGGTGGACAACACTGAGTCATCACATAAATTTTAACCACAAGATGAGACCACAGAGTTTGTGCTTAACCAGCTAAACCATAATACAATTCTTGAATTGTTGAGTGAATACAGAAAAACTAGAAATTTTTAAAAAATATTAGTTTTGTGCCTGTAGTTTTTGCAACTGGAGGCTTTAACTCCACTCAAACTGTTGAAGTTCTGATTATCTGCTCGAAGTCTGACTAAAGGAAGCTGTTCCATTCCAGAAACAACTGCTGTAGATCAGGGAGATTTATTGCTGCCAAATTCTTCATGCAACAGGAGAAAGCCAAGCTGCATCAGTTGTTCACTGAAGAAATCTAATCCAGACACTTTAATAATGTCTTGTAAAATGTTAGCTCATAGAGCTTTGATTGTTTTTCAGCCAACAACTCCACTTTTAGCTGCCTGATATTTTTCTTCACTAGTAGCAAAGATTATTTTCTTCTCACACATGCATTTTTCATATCTTTAAAAGCTCAGTGAATATAATGCAGGCAATGCTGTGGTGCGCTATGCAACATGCTCGCACACTTTCAAGAATTATGTAAAATAAATCCATTTGCAAGAAGTGACATGGCCAAGAAAGAATTCTGGGACGATTCCATTCATTCTTTGCATGACAGTAGTACAAACAAGGGACTGTTGACTGGGCTTAATGTCTTCGATATGCAGCTGGTGTGGCACACAGAGTAGGCAAAACTGATACTAAGCTGAATAGTATTACCATATCACAAGACACAGCACATTAGAAAATAAATTAGGTATACTAGGTACACTTTGATTATCAAAAAGAACCTCCCAGAATGTTACAATGGTTAAAGAAATATAACAGTTTTATCTTATGCAACACCTCCAAACTGCAAAACAGCATCTCTAAATTTCAAAAATATAGTATGTTGCCTCACAAAAATGACTTCAAGCAAGCAAAAAGTTACCGGTAAGCATCCAAGTCCTTGTGTGAACTCCTCTTAATCCTGTCATTGAAAGCCAGTGATCAATACTGTTCACAGACCTGGGTTAACAGAAACTGATTTTATGCAGAAGTGCACATGTTTGTCTGCTGAATGAAGGCCTGCCCTTTCCAGAAGCTCCCTCTGTCCTTCTTCCTCTTCACCACCACCCCCTCACTCACTCCGGACTCTTTCTGGCCCACAGCCACCCTCAATTACCATGGGTGGAAAGAGAAGCAGATAAGGATAAGCATGAAATAGTGAAGCAGACAGCCCATCTCCGACAGTCCAAAAGGAAAATAATAGTAATCAGCACAGCCTCCTTCCAAGTGTTGTGGGTTTGGATCATGTGTGGGTTGGGGGCATGGCCACAGAACTTGGACTTTACTTGATGCATTACAAGCACTAGATCAACCTACAAGTCTCAGTAACTAAGATACGTCTAGTGTACTGTTAATGGCACCATCAGCAGGACCTGAAGTGCTCAGCAGTGCACCACAGTAATTCTTCCATCATGTCACCTCATCACCCAAATGGACAGCAGGTTATGCTCTATAATTCAGCAGCAAACAAGGTGTAAGAAGCCACTGTAGTGTCTTGTCTGCTTGAACAGCTGAAAGACATTAGAAAAGCAGCCCTGACTTTGCTACGGTATCTTTAGAGAAAGCTGATCTCAGTTTGATCCACTCCAACAAGTTTTATCATGTTTGTACTCAGAGGCAGCCTGCTCTGTATCAACCAGCAACAACCACAGGATTGTTTGCAGGATTTCTCAAAGGCTCTAAGAGGCAGGATAGTGTACTGCACTCTGTGCTGTACAAGATCATTTTAGTCTGTTTAAAACAAAGATACAGTAGTAATTCTGTAGCAGAGTGTGACTCATAATGCCTAATAGGTTACATTACAGCATGTGAGATTGATTATCTCAGTATGGTAAAGTTGTAAACAAAATAATGACCAACTTGGTATAACTTAAGAGTCAATGGTCATTTTACATTACATTGATCATTATACATCCTATTTATTTGGGCCTTAAAACGTAAGCATGACTTACTTGCAGCCACATGCATAGACAACAGGTTTCAATCAATACAAGTTTGAATCATTGTTTTCTTTTTATGTGAAATTTTCATCAAGGTCACATCTGAGGAATGCACATTTACACAAATACTGTACTTAGATACGATTCTGAGGTACTTTTACTTTGTAGTTTGATATTCTGTCATATTAAACTTATTTTCCATTCCATTTACATTTCCTTGACTACTTTTATCTTATAGTTATTTTACACACACACGAGTTTACTGGCAAAACATATGATCCTCTTAAAGTATATAAAATATAGGAGTTCCTTACATGTTAATGCATTAACAATAATAATCTAATAATATCCAATCAACAATCTATCTATCTATAATAATATTCTCCAGAACAAGTGATTTTGCTGCTGCAATACTCTGAGTACATTTTGTTACTAATGCTTTTTGTGCTTTTACTTTTACTTGTAGGGTATTACTGTTTTTATTCCTTCCACCAGTCCATCTATCATCCCTCTCATGTACAGGGTAAACAACAACTCATCATACAGTCCTGTGATGGTGGCCTCATTGACCCTGAGCCTCAGCACACTCTGGTGGATCACACACGCAAATACTGAGCTGGTTTTTGGATCCTGGGAGGGGGAAAGCAGACTTTCCAACTCTGAGTAATCTTATGTCTCCATAGACTGGTCTCTGATTTGCAAGCAACAGGAGGCGCACATGAAGCAAACCCTAGGGCAGAAAATCTGTCCTTATTGTGTTTTCCTACAAGCAGTTAAGCTCTTGGACTCTGTAATACAGTGGCTGCTTACAGCTGTGCTCCCAGGCTGTTTTGCTAATGATTCCTTAATACAAAGCTATGCTTACATTAGACTCCTCATTTCAGTGTGCAGGTTTGTGAAGTCTCATACATGAACAAAACAAAGATTTGGAAAAAAAAAAGGATTTTGTGTTAGAGATCCTTATTTTCTAATTATTATGTGACCCCTCAGGTTCCTCTTGTAACCCCTTATATAAAGGCCCCGATCCCTAGACATTTTATTGTGTATGAGATACTGTTTAAAATGTATGTAACACTACAATGTATGTAAAATATATGCACAAAAAAAAAACAGGGGACAAAAACATGTTTGTTCTGCAATTGGTTGAATCAGTTTATAGGCAAAATTAATCATATCAAATAAATATGCAGTCAGTTTGCACATGCAGTTTGATAAAACTGTGTATACAAGTAAAATTAAATTAACAAAGAAAGGGTTTATATGCACTGTCCACCCACAAACATGTTATTCTGCCAACATATTAAAGCATGTGAAGTGGTAAAAAAAACAAACTTGTGTCAGTATACTGTAGTTAATAAAATCAAGAGCTGGACCTACCACCATCAGCACTCTGCTCATTTTCACTTGTACAAAACGCCATAACATATTTTACTTATTACAACTACCACTTACATTGCCTGGCAGTTGCTCTAAAACCTTTAAAGAGCTGCCTGCGGACAGCGTAAAACCTCTCTGGCTAATAACCTCTGATTCTGCGCCATCACTTTGAAGCACCACGGTACTGGGTCGTTTTAGTCAGCTCACATGCATTAAGCTGTATTTATCATGCTCCCTTGTATGGTTTGCCACAGAGATAAATAGTGAGCATGGCTGAAGCAAGTGGTGGAGCCCAGAAAGAAAATTTGGGGGATAATCATTGATTAGTAATAGTTTCCATGACAGGGGTGGCCATAGCATCTTTTGATGGAACAAAACAGAGCGACATGGCACACGTGACACTGTAGAGGGGGTGGAGGATGACTATCCACAGTCGATGTTCTTCTCAGAGGGAACAAATGTGAGCCAGGAAAGACACTGAGGAGAGCCACATGCAGCACTTCCAGTGTGTTTCTTCTTTTAGAAACGTTTCTCCATTCGATTTGAGCTGTGGAAAACACTCAAGTCATTATTTTTCACAACTCATGAAGACCTTTCTGGGCTGCAGGATTGCTGGAGCTTTTCCCAGCATACATGATTACAAAGCAGGGAAATGTCGTGGGCGAGGAGTCAGCGCCATTGCACAGTTAATACAGAAAGACAGATGCACCACCTCATATCCTCAAGCAATTTAGATTCTCCACTTGACCAGCAGGTTTTTCAGATGGAAAGTCCACACAGGCCAGCAACCAAACCCGCTCTGTGTTGTTGTGATGTAACTTTGCTCCAATAGAATCACCACGTGGGAAACTTTGCTGTTTCTATCATTGTTTGGTCTCATCACTACAACAGCGTCTAAAAAAAGTTTGTAGGTCATCAAGTTGACAGCTAAACTCAAGTAAAATCACTGTAGTGCAATGACACAATATGACTTCTGCTTACAATTTCTGGTTAATTGTAACCAGAAATCATTAGATAGGATTTCCAAACCTTCAAGTTGGGAACATGCAGAGAATGTGCAGGGCATTCTTTTTATACTTTATCACACTAAGCAGATTAAAGTCAGGTCTTTTCTCTCTCAGAAAAATTTCACAGCCATTCTAGTGATGACGTAGTGACCATCATGTGACACTGCAATACAGAATGTGACTGCTATACTAATATCACCTCACAGCTCAGATGCAGGATGCACTGCTGTCTGTTTTTAATACTAGTGTGGAAAAAAGGGGGCTTTAAGAATAAGATTAGTTTCCAAAACACACTGTCTAAGGTATGATGTATTTTCTAATTAAAGATATTGGAATGTAATAAAATCTGTACTGTGCAGACCAGCTACAGACAATATATGACAACTATAAAAGCAGTTACTCTATCTGCAATGTTCATGACAGTTTTAAAATAATTTGCCAAATGTTCCTTCATGTGATTTAAGATTGCCAATATGGGCTCCATAAACTCTCTCTTTATATAATATAAATTACATTCATGATCATTTTCAGATATGTTTTGTTGCTGTTGTTGTTTCTCAACTTCATAACTGATCATCAGCCTAAACTACGCTTTTATACAATAGTCTAAATAAACATCAGCATAATTTGGGGTTTTTATTATAAAGAACAGATGTTTAAAGACAAGTCAGACTTGTAAAATCAGTTTAAATAAAACTATCAAATGAATAAAGGTTTTTTTTTACAAATGCATGCTGTTACCACTCTCCATCAAATCACACAGGTGTTATCGTTGGTAACCTTTGTTCCCAAAACTGCACTTTAGGTTTCAGCTGCGTATTTACATGAACATTTGGATTTATTCCAACAAAGAAACAAACCATATTTTCCTCCTTTGAGCTCAATATTCAATTCACCGTCCACACAGACTCTATTTTACTCTACGGACGATTCCTCAACCTCCGCAGCCCTGGTGGAGGTGTCCCACTGGTGGAGTTGAGCTGAGCACACCCAGAGGTGGCACAGACACCTGGAGGTCCTCTGAGACCTGGGTAGCCCCTGAGTCCAGGTCGGCCTACATGGCCCCTCTCACCCTGCTTCCCTGGCTGCCCATTAAAGGCTCTGCCAGGACGCCCACGCTGACCTGTTATTGAGGGGATAAATGTTGTTTAGTTGTCAGACTTCCCAGTCTGCTCATTTAGCTGAGTAAAACAATATTTTCACATTTTCCAAAACCAGAGCATTTACAGAAAAAAAAAAAAATCATTTCACTTTTGGCTTTTTTTTTTTTTTGGCAAATCATGCTCTTCTTACAGTAACACATCTCCTCCTCCCTTTTCCTGTGATTTTCAGCACAGACTCAGCTGAATGCAGTTTGTAAAATGTTGCACAGGCCCAGATGTGGCCATGTATTAATGCCTCATTTTAATCAAAGCATCAAAAACATTGAGCTTTGAAAGATGACATTACCTTTTGGTCCATGATCTCCTGTGTAGCCAGGTAGGCCATAACCCTTAGCTCCTTTGTCACCTCTCTCTCCTCTGTCACCTGGAAGCCACACACACACACACACACACACACAGATCTCTCAGCAGGAGAATCAGCTGAATTCCCTGAGGAGCGAGCTCCACTCAAGACTCACTTATCATGCTGATTAAAGACCAGCAGATGTGTTAGTGAAATCACAGTTAAATAAATGTTAAACACCTTGTAAACAGTTTTTGATTTCTTTGACTTGGCACGGTAATGAAGCATGATTGAAACAAAATGCTCCAGCCACTGACCATAATTTGGAACAGATAATTTACACGTTAGCCTACAAGTTTTACAGCCGTGTACAGTATTTGACCGAGCAGCTTCATAAGGTATAGTTCATAATGAAATGTAGTTTAGCTTCACTTTACCTCAAAGGGAAATACTGGACTTATACTCCACAAATGTACTTGACTAATAAAAGCTGCTAATAATAATGATGTGTTCCTCTGGTGATTAAGATTTTATATGCAAAAAATGATTAGCTTATAAAATATGAAGCGATGCTGTAGATGAAACTACTTAGTTGTTGCCTTTTAACTCACTGTGCTGGTTTAATGGCCTAGAACTCTATTTCTCTGGTTCACTCTCACCGCTCTCAGTCGGCAGCTTTTGAAAAAGCTCTGATGAGCACACTGTCCACTACAGCTCCTGTCCAGCAGCCAGCACAAGGTTAGGTTAGCAACTCACTGATCAACACAACAGACAATTAAACAGCTTAAGATTTTTGTCTGGAGTTGGTGGAGTCCAAAACAGAGCTAAAAACAGAGGGGATTTTGGTTTTACTGTCATCAGGTAACAAGCAACTGTTTGCTAGCACATTCACATATCAACGTTATAATGATGTAATATGCTAGTGATGCGTTTTCAGCTTGTTGTACTGCCTCTAAGTGGCTATAAATAAAAGTGCATTCAAATAAAAGGTCTCTATTCTTCCACCACTGGTATTCCTAAAACACTGGTGAATTATAGTTTAGTGTTAGTCATATCTGGTGGGTTTGTTTTTGCACACCTGTTTCTCCTTTTTGGCCCGGTTCTCCGGCTTCTCCATAGAAGCCCGGTGGGCCCACTTCTCCATCAATGCCATCATTACCAGGGTCACCCTGACAACATCATCAATAGGAAAATACACCATTAATCTGTCTGTGTTTTTAGTTTATATCTTGTTAATGTATTTTTTCTTTTCTTTCTGGGTGCTTTTTCAAGTCATAAATGAGGTTTCCATTCACCTTTGACCAGCTCTGTGAACAGAAGCCTAAAAATATTCATTTGGCTATTATTATTCAAAACTTTTTATAGTAATGGCAGATTATTGTTCTTGGTTTGGCATTAAATGGCAAAACATGAGGCTATTATGTAATATAATGGAAATAATTTTATGTAGTCATGGTTTTGAGAGCATTTATCAGCCTGAGAGCCACTGTGATTAAAGAAGTTGTGGAACATGAGTCGGCTCTACGCTGAATAACAGTGTGGAAAAGGCTTTCCAATCCAAGGACAGCTTTGATACTCTCCAAGAGCCATTCAACACAGACCAAGTGTCTAGTCTGTGACTCCTTGTTTGTCCTCATGTAGATGTGGAAAATTGTAATGTTTTCATTCCAAGCTTTTCTGCCAAATACTTCAGCTCTCTTAGTTCAGTCAGGACCCTTGCAATGTGTTTGCCTTTTACTCAACCAGGGAGATAAACATGAGCAGTGCATGGACAGTGCATGGTGCTCCAGTGGTCTGTCTTGGCTAAAGGTCTGTCTTGGCTAAAGGCATACAGGAGGTGAGGTGATGCTTAAAGCGGTAATTTTGCAAAACGGATATCTCTAGAGTGTCTGTGCAGACTGTTTTACCTTGAACAATGAACACCCAAACCGTAAAAACTCACAGGAGGCCCGGGGGGTCCTTTCTGTCCGGGGGGACCAGGTGCACCCATGGGTACATCCCCGTAGAGAGGACAAACCGCTGCACATGTTCTCCTTACTGAATTGGCAAAGGTGGACATCTGCTCCAGAACCACTTTCTTACAGACCTCAATCACATGTTGAGCGGGGAGGGTTGGACCCTGTGTAACAAATCGTTACCACATCCGTCACTGGAAATGACCCAACTGCGGGACATGTCATGTGGAATACGACATGGCATGCTGAAGCAATGTCTGCCTCTCAAAGAAAATGCAGTGAACAATTAAAGCCAACAATTTTTCTTGAAGCTTGTTATGGATTTATAGCCACACCAAATGAAACCATTGGTGTGAGTCATTACTGCGCTGTCACTACAAACTAAAGAGAAACAGTTTGACTGTGTTTTTGACACTATAATTGTTACCAACTGGTGTGTGACAGTCAGTGTAACTACTAATGCAAATGATTAATCAGCTGTTTCTGTCCCATAATTGACAGGTAAATAAAGTGTGAATTACAGTACAGGTTGAAAAGCAGTGCTTTTCATCATGGCTACCTAAAGCACTTCTCTGTACTGTAGCACTGTAATGTTTGTAGTATTAAACGAAAAACCGAAGATTCAGAGGCTTGTATTTTACTCACTGGTGGACCCGGGGGCCCCTGAAAGCCATCTGGTCCTTCTTCACCCCGAACCCCTTTGGCTCCAACAGGGCCCGACGGTCCAGGTAGGCCTGCTGGGCCACGCTTCCCCCGGCCTCCCTGAGGACCATGCTCCCCCCCGTCTCCAACCTACAAAGCGGGTTAATGACATCAACAGGACTGGGTTCAGGACAGATCCAGTGAGTCCATCAGAAAACAAAAAGAAATCAGTTTTGCATGGAAAACAGTAACAAGTTAAAATGCTGATTATATCATGTTAATAGCAACAATAAACAGTCACTGAGTCATACAGATATTTAAGGCAAACTAGCAAGTAAAAAATATGTAATAGCTTTAAAAATTATAAACATGTCTTCTCTGGTGGAGAAGACAAGCGACGCGTGCAAAATTCAGTTTGGTGCAGTCGTGGGTGTTGCTGCCGTTATTTCTTCTACAGATGTTTACGTTTGGAATGACAATTGTTGGACTGATTTTAGATACTTCAGACACTTCGGATTACCGATGGAGAATCAGATAAATGTACAGTAGCATTTTATAACCAATAAAATGGTGATAGTCTGATCGTCATAGTATTGGGAAACACAAACAAGTTATGCTTTGTCTTTTAGTTAAATAGGGGGTTTGGATTGGTGGTGAGTAGCTGGTCATGTATGTGTTCTAATATATGTGTTATAATTATCACTGCTGTAATTATATTTTTAAAAAATGATATTTTGTCAGTGACACTATACCAACAAAATCACAGCTTACCCTTCCTTTTGGGCCCTTAGCTCCGTTTTGTCCCTTTAAAAAAGAGCAAATTCATGTTAAGGATAAGATATGAAGAGGATGTTATGATGAGCAGGGGTGATGAAACATTTAAGTACCTGTGCACCTTGAACTCCTTTGACTCCCTGGAATCCTGTGTCACCCTGTGCAAGGCAAATGAGAAATAAACATGATTAAACTTACACAATTTGATCTATCGAGTGCTGCTCTATGAAGCGATACATTCAAATGTGAACTAGAGCATTTATCATATGAACACTCCCTCTTCATTTTTGTCTCATTAATGGTTCCTGCAACCGATCAGCACAAAAATGCATTATTGTACAATGCAGAGGATGTTGGATTTAATATATATAATTTTTTTTAAATGTTCTTATCACTGTTTTTAAAACAGTAAACAGTAAAAGTAATACATGTACTACAAAGTATTTCTTTACTCAGTATCAACATTGTGTTATATTTTGGAAAGTCTCCAAGGTTGTTATGAACCGGTGTATAGTCAGAATCTTTTGAAATGTTTGAATCAAATACTTTTTTAATTCCTTATTATCACTTTTATTTCAAGAACCAGTGTTGTCAAAATGAAAACTCTACCTCAAATCAACTATCTGTTTACAATGCTTCCCACAACACTCACAGATAAATGGTTCAAATCACTTGATTCTTTAACTTCAAAATTTTATTGGAAAAACAAGAAACCCAAAATTTCTCTATCTACACTCCAAAAGAAGAAATCACTAGGTGGCCTAGAAGCACCAAATTTCCAATGTTACTACTTGGCAAATCAGCTACAGTATTTAGTCAAATGGATTCAGAAGGACAGTCTCAACAGTGCATGGATAGAATTAGAGCAAAATTACTGTAAAAATAACTTAAATAACTCAGTTGCAGACGTCCCTTTTCTACCAAACTCTACTAAGAAAATGAATCACTGTAAGAACATTACAATCCTCTTAACTCTGACAGCCTGGTGGAAAGTAAACAAACTCTCTAAATCATCACTTGCACCATGTAGATACACTCCAATTTGGCACAACCCTGATTTCAAACTGCATAATAACCCTATCTATTTCCCAGCATGGCAACACAAAGGAATCACTCACTTACATCACCTATTTGAAAATAACC